AAAATTTAACGTCTAGATAGTTCAGAGTTGTCAACTGCAGGTGCTTACCACTTGTGATAAATCAGCCAGTTTTCATTTACATACTTAAATATGGATTCAAGAGCTACTTAGATTTGAAAGCCTTTTTTGGCTGCAGTCCCTACTCAGTAGAACCTGTCATGACACAAACAGCTAAGGGAAAATGGAAGAGGAAGGAACAAGATATGTATCTTGATAGTACTGTTTCTTTCCTGTTACTTATCTATTATGGGTGAAATATCATAGTGAGATTTAGGTGGGATCTGAATGGGGAAAGTGAGGTGGCTTTGTGAACATGTTTGAGGGTAGCACTATAAATTAGAGCTAGGAGAAATCATAGGATGATAGAAAAATGCTTCCTTGCTATTTTCTGTATCATATCTGATCTGTGTATCTAGGATTTAAATCTGCAGCTGCCTATCTAATATATTTTTGAAAATTAAAGTCTCTTTACAATATTAAATGTCATCTGCATTGAGGTAACCAGCTTCACCCCGTAAAAGGTGATGGCTAATGTCTGGGCACAAATACATAATCCCAAAATTTGCTCTTAAAAATATATCTTCAATGGAATCTTCAGGGGACTCCCCAGAACTTCCCAAGATGCCCGCAACTTCTGGGGAATTGCCCTTTTAGAATTGGATGCTGAGTACCTCTGGGAATAGGCTACGCTTCAGGAAGCCTGGAATTCCAGAGTGTCTCCAGAGTTCATGACTCTTTCTGTGTTTCTCAGGGTTCCCATACTTCTATCATAGAATAGATAGCTTAGAAATCCAGCCTGTAGCCATGCTTTTCAGGATTTTAGCTTCGTTGTGCAGAGCAGAGAGACTTTTCTGCTGGTAAGAAGCCACCTCACAGGATGGAATTTTGGCAAGAAGAATGCTAATGGAAAGAGCAAGTGAGCAGCCAGTTATGTAATAAATGTGGAAGTCAACATGGCCCCAGACTTCCTGATGAATTTGGAAAGTTCTGTTGTAACTGTAACAAGAGAAACCATTTTGCTGGGTGCTCCAGATCCCAAACACAAAAATATCAAGTATATACAGTTGAGAGCATGCCAGAAAATCCTGCATGGTAGAATCAAGCAAAACCAATGAGAGGGACAGGATTTTGCTAAAAGCAAAAGGAACAATGGTTTCATTTAAACTGGACATCGGAACTCAACATTTCAGAGCATAAATACAGAAAATTTAAATCAAAACCAAAAGTGAATCCAACAAATATATAAATAACTGGCTATTCAGGAACAATTATACCAGTGAAAATGAGTGGCATTGCTAACATCCAGTACAGAAAATGAGCATATATTCATTAGCTATCCCTCGATACAAGGAGAATGTCTGCTGTGGGGGGAGGGGGATAGTGAGGGATTACTGGTGAGTTTGAAAGTGGCTAAGGAGTCCAATCTGTGGTCTGCAATTTTTTCTACAGCTATGACAAGTGATGCCCGAGGGGAAGGAGGAGGGGGAGGAAAGAGGGTACAACTGTTGGCCAAGAGGTTTTGTGCTTTCCTTCCTCCTCTGCCATTTCTTGGCTTCCTGAGCAAGATGGTTCTCTTCAAAGTGGGCTGTAGCTTGATGTATGGTGTGGCACCACTGAGACCTGTTACCAGCCAGCATTTCCCAATTTGTAGGGTTGATGCTACCCTTCTTAAGATATGCTTTCAGGGTATCCTTGTCGCACTTCCTCTGTCCTCCATGGGTCCTCTTACCATGATTAAATTGAGAGAAGAGGACTTGCTTCAGAGACAAGTGCCAGCCACCTGCACACAGTGGCCAGCCCAGCAAAGTTGATGTTTCATGATTTTTGCCTCAATTCTGGTTATGTTAGCTACAGAAAGGACACTGGCATTGGTGCAGTGCTCTTCCCATCTAATGATCTCCCTGAGGCAACTCCAATGGAACCATTCCAGGCACTTAAGATGGTTTCAATATGTCACCCATGTCTCACACCCATAGAGGAACATGGGAATACCCTCTGCACTGTAGACCAGGATCTTAGTTTCCATCTGCAGATCTTGGTCAGCAAAGACACAGCGAAGCAGGTTTCTGAAGGATATGCTGGGACAGTAGATCCTATGTTCAATGTCTACATCAAGACTGACTGACTAGGAGAGATGGCTGCCAAGGAATGGGGAATGCTCATCATTTTCCAGGGGTTCTCTACCAATGCTAATTTGGGGGGGAGGGACAGCTAGGGCTGGGGCAGGCTGATAGAGCACCTTAGTCTTCCCAATGTTAAGGGAAAGTCCCAGGCTGTGATAGGCACCTAAGGTCAAAGGTGGACCGTAGATTGGTTTTAGTATGCACAAGGATAACACAGTCATCAACGTACTGAAGGTCAGTGATGCCAGTCTTGATCATTTTCATTTTGCTGTGAGGGTGCCAGAGGTTGAAAAGCTAACTGTGCATTTGATACTCTACCCCAATTCTGGGAGGAAAGTGGTCACAGAGGAAAATCAAAATCACACCAAGATAAATGGAGAAAGGGCTTGACATGATGACACAGCCCTGCTTGACACCAGTACCGATGGTAAATGGGTCCATGTCTGTTCCATTGCAAAGGACTGCGGTGGTCATCCCATCATGGAGTAGCCTGAGGAATAATACTGAACTTCAGTGGACAACCACTAGCCAGCACCTTCCATAAGGCTTCATGATTGATGGAATCAAAGGCCTTGGTTACGTCAATGAGTGCCATAAACAGCTCCTGGATCTGTCATGCCAGTGGTACCCCAAGACGGTCTAAAGCCACACTGGGATTCTGCAAGGACATTTTCAGGAAGGGGGATAAGGCAATTCAGAAGAAGCTAACCTATTTAACAATTTCTTTGTCTCCATTTTTCTGAGCAGGGACTGGGTCAGTCCTCCCACCGGGACCCCCGTAAGCCCCAGGGGAGGCACACCCAGGCCTAGGGTCAGAGAGGACCTAGTCAGGGAACTTCTAGAGGGACTGAACATATTTAAATCAGCAGGTCCTGATGATCTCTACCCCAGAGTGCTGAGGGAATTAGCAGAGGTCATTGCGGGACCCCTGGCACAGCTTTACGAGCACGCATGGTGCTCTGGTTAGGTGCCGGAGGACTGGAAAAGGGCCAATGTGGTCCCCATTTTCAAAAAAGGGCGGAAGGAGGACCCAGGAAACTATAGGCCAGTTAGTCTTACCTTGGTCCTAGATTTTGGAGAGAATTATCCTGGCGCAGGTCCATGAGGGGCCAACAGGAGAGTTTATGCTTAGGGGCAACCAACATGGGTTCATTAGAGGCAGGTCCTGTCAGACCAACCTGGTGGCCTTCTATGACCAGGTCACAAAATCCTTAGACACAGGGGTAGCAGTGGACGTAGTCTTTCTGGACTTTAGGAAGGCCTCTGTCTCTCACCCCATTCTCATTAAAAAACTAGGATACTGTGGTGTCGATACCTACACAGTCAGATGGGTCACTAATTGGCTGGAGGGCCACACCCAGAGAGTGGTGGTGGACAGGTCTTATTTGACCTGGAGGGATGGCGGCAGTGGGGTTCTGCAGGGCTCAGTCCTTGGGCCTGCACTGTTAAACATCTTCAGCAGCGACTTGGATGAGGGGGTAAAAAGCACCCTGTTCAAATTCACAGATGACACTAAGATGTGGGGAGAAGTGGGCATGCTAGAAGGGAAGAATAGGCTGCAATCAGACCTAGACAGATCACAGGGGTGGGTGGATGAGAACAGGATGGGTTTCAACACTGACAAGTGCAAGGTACTGCACCTGGGGAAAAAGAACCAGCAGCATACTTACAGACTGGGGAACTCCCTTCTCGTCAGTGCAGAGGCAGAAAATGATCTTGGAGTCATCATTGATGCTAAAATGAACATGGGCCAATAGTGTGGGGACACAGTCAGGAAGACCAACTGTATCTTTTCATGCATCCACAGATGCATCTCAAACAGGTCCAAGGAGGTGATCCTCCCCCTCTATATGACACTGGTCAGGCCGCAGTTGGAATACTGGGCCCAGTTCTGGGCACTGCACTTCAGGAGGGATGTGAACAACATGGAGAGGGTCCAGAGGAGGGCCACCCACATGATCAGGGGTCAGCAGGCCAGGCCCTATGAGGAGAGGCTAAAGGACCTGAACCTGTTCAGCCTCCACAAGAGAAGGCTGAGGAGGGATCTAGTGGCCATTTACAAAATAGTCAGGGGGGACCAGCAGGCAATGGAAGAGTCCCTGTTCCCCTGAGCACTACCAGGAGTGACAAAAAATAATGGCCACAAGCTGGCAGAGAGTAGATTCAGGCTACATATCAGGAGGCGCTACTTCACCGTCAGGATGGCTAGGATCTGGAACCAAATTCCAAATTAAGTGGTGCTGGTTCCTACCCTGGGGTTCTTTAAAAGGAGGCTGGATGAATACCTTGCCAGGATCGTTTGACCCCAGTACTCTTTCCTGCCATGGCAGGGGTCAAGACTTGATGATCTGCTCAGGTCCCTTCCAACCCTACCAACTATGAAACTATGAAAGCATGCGAGTAAGAATCTTCTCAGCAGTGGAGAGGAGGTCAATGCCTCAGTAGTTCCCACACACTGACTTGGTCCCTTTTCTTGAAGATAGCCACAATATTGGCATTGTGTATTGTGGCAATGTCTGTATTTATGCAATATTGGCAGAGGTGGAACTTCCTCATTAACCCATATTTTGATGAGAAGTTGGTGAAATTTTTCCACTAGTGCAGTTCCACCAGCTTTGAAGACCTCTGCAGGGATGCCATCTGCACCTGGAGCTGTATTATTCTTGGTCTGAGTGATAGCATTCTAGGTTTCTTTGAAGGATGGAGGATCAGCAAGAGATTCTATTGCTGGGTGTTGAAGGATGGACTCGATGGTGGCAGCTGAGACCTTGGATTTACACTTGAGTAGAGTCTTGAAGTGCTCCTTCCAGGGTTGCTTGATGGATACATTGTCCATGAGAAGGGTGGAGCTGTCCTGGGATCACAAAGGGGTTGGGCCATTGGAATGTGGCCCATGGATAGCATTTATTGCTTGAAAGAAGTGTCTCATGTCATATTTATCAGTGAAATTCCGGATCCTCGTGGCCTTCACTTGCCGCCACTTTTTCTTGATGTCCCATAGCTTCCTCTGAACTACAGTTTTAAGCTGGTGGTAAGCCCCTTGTTTTTGCTGGTTGGAGGGTTCATTTTTGCAACTGCAGAACATGGCTATCTTCTGATGGATAAGTGCTAGGATTTCCTCATTGTTCTTGTCAAACCAAACTCGGTGATGGTAAGTGGAGTATCCAATTGATTCACCACATGCCTTGTGATTAACATTCTTAAGCTTCTCCCAATGTGCCTGGATGCTCTTGTTGTCATCAGGTAGGTCAGAGAGCCTCTCAGTAAGGAGTTGCTGAAGAGCCTCACATCTAGCTTGGTCTTGGAGTGCCTTAATGTTAAATCTCTTCCGCATTCCTTTCAGTGGTATACAGTGTTGTGGTGCAAGCTGCATGCCCATGATTGATCTGACTAAACAGTGATCAGTCATCTGCACCTCTCATGACTCAGGTGATATGGCCAGGCTCTGGTATGATCACAGGCTCTGACAATAATATAATTAAGAAGGTGCCAATGATTGGGGCGTAGATGTTTCCAAGTTGTCTTATATTTGTCATACAAACTCCTATACATTGTAGCTAGGTGGGTACAATGGTTGCTAGGGAAATGACACCATTTTGGAGTCTGGCAGCTTGTGAGTATCTCAAACTACCACATTTACCCGAATCCAAGATGACTTTGAATTTAAGACCCCCTCCTAGTAATTATATTCTAGGCATAGGAAATTTATAAATTTATTATAATTTTCCTTGTCTGGGATCTAGTAAATTCATCCCCTCACCCTGCCCAACTGCAGCAGGACAAGCAGAGGCAGTGGTGCTATTTTTCCTGCCCCTTGCCGCCTATTCACCGCCCAACTTACCCAACAGCTCTCTGCCTCCTTGGGTACCTGTCCATCCCACTCCTGTCCTCCCTACTGTGCCTGTATCCCCCTAATCTGTCCCCCAGCCATTTGCCACCCTGATACCTGCCCCTCCACCTTGCTCCCTGACACTTTCCACCTGCTGCCTGCTCCCACACCATTTGCCTGGCCCCCTGCACCTACCCTACTACTTGGCCTCCTTGCCACTTGCACCCCGCATCTACCTCCCCAATACCTGAGCTTTGTGATGTCGAACTCCTAGCACCTGGCCTCCCCCACCACTTGTCCCCCTCCCACCTGACCCCATGCCTGCCACCCCCTACTACCTGCCCTCATTGCTTAGCCCCCTGACTCCAGTGCTCCTGCTGTCTCTCCCCACCCCACAGCAGCAACAGAGGTTGCAGGGAGTGGGCTGTGGGAGCAGAGTAGGATGGAGGAAGAGGGGGCAGGTAGTTGGAGGGGCAGCAGGGGGCAGGTGGTTGGAGGGGCAGCAGGGGGCAGAGCCATAGCCACTGCTCCATCCTGCCTGTACTAGAATCTAAGATGAGGGCCTTTTTTCCTCCATGTTGAATGGGGCAGGTGGAATCTTGTCTTGAATTTAAGTAAATACAGTAGTTAAGTGTGTGCTTGCAACATGAGACACAACATTCATGCCTCCTGATGATCCCCCCTGGCCATCATGCCCCAATTCCAGACAACCTTCTTAGGCAGAAACCAAATGTTTCAGAGCACAAGATGCAACCATGTCCTTATGGGAAGACATGTACCTACAGACAAATGCAAACACTAACATGCAGAAAGAGGAAATTAGCCTTAGCATTCCAAAGCAAATGAATTTGTACCATGTAAAGATGCATAGCTGCCGACAATTTAAATAAATCTGATTCCAGTATAAAAATGTATATCCATCATGACTTGGAGGGAAACTTCCCAACAAAAGCAAATCAGAAAATGGATCTGGTACTTTGTCAGTCTGAGAAGAAAGTGAAATCTCCCAAAAAACTCTGACTTGCAGAAAAGTGATGCAGAAATGGGAGAATAGGAAGCGTGTGGTAAAGACTCACTCCAGTAACTTCTCCTCTGTGGATGGGTGTTAATTGATTTTTGCTGGTATTGTTAAGGGGGATGTAATGATAGAAGTTATAATTGAGACATCCCCTTAATGAGAAGCTGATAAAATTTGGGAATTGGAAGATGGTCCCTCAGTTGGGTTAGTTGGTCAGAGAGACTAAAAGACTGCAGAGGTTTGCCTACTAATCCACAAATAAAATTTGCTTTTAGTTTTTTTCATTCATGTATTCCTGTGTTGATTAAACCCAATGATCACTACAGACACCTTAACTATCAGCACACTCTTCAGTGTTGGGGTTTAGTGATGTTATTGCTTTCACTTTCTAGCACAATAACAGTAAGAGAAATAGCTTCCTGCCAGTGGCTCCAGAGGAACCAGCACACCTCTGACTTCTAACCTGAACACATCACCCCCAGCCCTGCCTCACCAAAGGAATTCATGTATATCTGGAACAGATGCAGTTACAGCATTTTGATATCACTGAATCCCAGGTTCTTGGAGAACTTTTTATCAGGGGTATCCCCTGGAATTTGCACCAGCATTTGGCATCAATGCAACTCATCACAAACTTGGCCATCACTGAATGGGTCATAGGAACACTGGAGAAAACTGTTTACTTTGGAAGCTAATTAAATTTTTGGCCACTCAAGTTAAGACTGACCTCCAATGTATGAATTAATGTCATTTAAGCTGTAACCTACTAACAACCACAAGAGAAGCAACTAGATAGTTTCACATAAAAGCATCAAGCTGCCATCAGATAATAATTGTTACTGTTAACTTAGCCCTGATCTAAACAAGTTGATTAAAGGTAAAAAATAAATAAACCACTGCCAAAGTGTCCGCCATCCCCCTCTCGGGTTTGGCCCTTGGGTGCAGCACGGTTCTGCCCCGGAAGTTTCTCTGACCACCCTTCTGGAACCAAAGATAGGCATTTAGGGTCCTGAAAACCGTGTTCCTGAAAATCTCTGTGAACGTTTCCTAAGAGTTTTGTGAATGTGGCACCCAGCCCCACCACCAGGGTGAGGCACCAGAAGTGTCTGCCCACCTGGATAGAACGGTTGGGCAACTCACTCACAGCAACCCCTTATGGACTTCTGGGCCACACTGGGTAGCCCATGTCAATCACTTGCACCACAGGAGAGTGGGCTGGGGGAAATTTTTCAAAGTCCCAGGTCAACCTGATTCTCCTGCAGGAGAACCCCGCCACTCCCAAGGAAGCACCTCAGCCTCCCTGAACCTTGGGCCAGTTACCAGGGTGAAGCTGGATTTGTGGCCGGGCTCCTAGAACTTCTGCCTGGCCTGGCCTGCCGGATCAGTCCCCATCCGGACCTCCAGGTTGACATAGCCTTATGGAGGGCTGCCCACGCCCCTGCTGCCCCAGCCCAGATCAGCCACCACCTGGTTCCACTTGGAGGGGGTCACTGGTCACTCACCCCAGGGCCCTGTATACCTGCTGGGACCCTTTGAGATGGTCCCGGCCTGCCCAGCCCTCGGGCAGGTCACCGGGGTGAAGCCGGAATGGTGGTCAGGCTCCTGGAACTGCTGCCTGGCCTGGCCCGGCCCGCTGGATCAGTCCCTTTCCAGACCTCTGGGTTGACATAGCCCTGTGGAGGGCTTCCTGGGCTCCTACCGCCCCGGCCCAGGTTAGCCACCTCTCGGAGGGGTTGCTGGGCGCTGACCATCAGCATGATAGGGGCATACAGTTGCTAATCTAAACCCTCCAAGAAGCAATTCTTTCTCTCTACTTTTGCTATTACAGTTGGCCTCTTATACAAACTGGACAATGTTTTACAGAAGGTGCCACATGGATACCAGATGGAAGGGTTGTTTTCCTTTTTAAATTAATTTCCTGAACAGTGCCACAAGAGACTTCAGTATGACTAAGTCAGTGCTGTTTTATGACTGTGGCACTAAAAGCACTGAAGGTATGATGCAACTTCAGATAAAGAAACTAATGTCATTCTAACTCTCAGCTATTGTCTGAAGCAGTCCCTGGGCCATTTCTTCTTTGCTTGTGACTTTTCTAACACCCCTATCTGAATATATTTCCCTCAGTAGCTTGAGGGGTTTGGATAGGCACCTGAAGGGTGAAAACTGAAGGCTGTCCAAAGTACTAGATGGTTGTGCCCCCTGCACAGGGGGTGAGTTTGCTCATAGACCTCTTTAGTCACCTGCATTCAAAACATACCTCTTGCATAGATAAGGAATCTTTATGGATGGATCCAGGTACTCTGGTCTGTAGGAAGTACTAATGCCCTACAAGGGTTCCCTAGTCCTGCTCCCATTGCCTATGAAATCACAATTGGTAATTCTGCTGCATTTGGGATCTGATTTATCTATAAATGAATAATGATATGAAAGCTACACATACATTTGCCATGACCCAGTTGCTCAGGAGGAGCACAGGAGAAAGAAGTGCCCCTTTTTTTTTTTTGAAACTGGTACAGAGGAATTTGAATTTCTGAAATAAAATGAGATAAAGGACATTCCTCTGGTTTGCAAATTTGATGTAGCATACTATTTACTTCCTTATCTCCACCTATTTCACTGTCTTCAACAGTTCTAGGACTATAAATAAAAGATACAACTGCCAATAAAAGCCAGGAGTTTGAATATTATATAAAAGAGGCAGCATATGAATTAGCTTCTCTTGTGGTTAAACAGAAGTGTCTTGTCCCAAAACCTTCCTTGGCTGAAATGTCACGGCTGTTTTCTGGCATCTAAAAGCCATATTCTGTGTGTAGTCATTAGCTGCCATTTCTGTTTTCTCCTGGCATTCTGAGATTCCTGGCAATGTATTCTCCATCTGCTGCAGACACCAAAAGAAATGTTACCACTGGCCAGGCTGATGCAAACATTATGCTTAATGGGGAAAAAAACCTGTAAGAAATTGGAAGCTGATTTGTGGGGGGTTGGAAAATGCTGTGTACTGATTTTTGTTTTCCCCGATTAAAAAACAAGAGTTGTTTTTCTGATGGAATGTTGGAAAACTGCCCTAAAAATGGTAATAAATCAGGAAACAAATGGAAAATACGAGCTATAAAGGGTTTCAAAGTATTACCCCTCTCCATTTTAAACCTGTTTCTGAAACTTGCTCACACACAAAGAGCCACCGATAAGCAAAAGTGTTGTCCATTTTCTGCTTTTTGTTCATTATTTAGATGACAGATTGTCACAACCCAGTTAATCAGTGCCCATGCCACTAGCAAGAGATACCATTCAAGTAGTCAACTAAGGGTTAAAAGATATCCTTGCCAGAAACTCCTGAAACAAAATCCTGGCAGAGAGCTGTATATAATTTATGCCCACGTCACAAACAAGAAACGAAACTTAAGACTGGTCAGGGTGAAAGGGGATAGCCCTGCCATAAATCCCTGCAATTGGTCAAAAAACAAGCATAAGCCCCTCATCATAACCTCATATGTAACAGGCAGGAAACCTGACCCACTACCTTGTAACGTGA